TTCAGCCCTTAACATCGGAAGCCATCCTGCCTGGCATTCTCCCCAAACCTGTATCACAGTGCATTCACAGTACAATATCAGTTCATGGCATTCGCGGGTTGCTCGCTGGACCCCTGTCACTGCCAAAGTCCCTGCCTTCTTTTGTCTAGGGTGGCCTCACTTTGTGGGCTTGAATCCATGCCGAATTCAGATGCCCCGCCTGTGATAGTCGGTCTCTGCCGACAAGGCTGCTCGAGATCCATAGTCGGATGATGGGCCCAGAACAGCTCCAGAAGAGGCATATGCCACAGGAGCTGGAGCCTCAGAGTGTCTGGTTGGCAGCGTCAAAGCTTTCCCAGGAATGCGAGGAGGCTAGTCACGACAAGCTGTGCCCTGTTCGTGCAGGCACGTGCACGTGCATGACATCAAGCTGCCGAGGGTGGGAGGTTTTTCCAGAGGTTCATCCTTTAATTCCAAGATTGGCACGCGGGCAGGGAATCTAGTTTTTGCCTACGAGAAGACCGACCAACCCATCGACGGGAGCAACACATCTCGGGGCCCGCTGCCAAGCACAAAGAAGGACACCGGGTTGACTCCCTGAGGTCGGCACAGTCCCTTGTCGCTCCGCCAAGGCTTTCACCGCCTCGAACACGTTGACGGTGCCAAGAAGGTTGACTGCCACACCGAGGGTGGGGTTGGCACCTGAGCATCGAGCAAGTCTTGGGAACCGAGCACTTAGAATATCCTAGAATGTTAGGCACATGGCGAACCGTGGGAATCTGCACTCCAGCTAAATGGATAACGGCGGTGGGCTTGAACGTCAGGATGGCTTCCTCTGCTGTGACGATTGACATGGAACATGCCTCTCCCGAAACCTTTGAACACATGAACATCCCTGGATGTGGGGCCACCCTGCTGGCCTTAATCTTCAAGCCAGACTCTCAGCAAGCTGCCATCACTCACATTTCAATGATTCACAAACCTTCGAATGCCGCCAAGCTGCCTTCACCTCAGCCAAGATTGAAACAGCAGAGCATATCACAGTAAGCTGTTCAGAAAAGCGCTGCCTCATGCAAGTCGCCTTTGGGCCATCCGCAATGTCAATCAGCTTGGTGCTGAATCGCGACAGCTCGTCGGCTGTCAAAACCTCCCAGCAAACGTTGCGGAACCGAGTAGAGTCTGCACATGGAGCTTCTACATCAAAAGTGCAGGCTGCTACTTGAAACACGTCATGACAAAAGGCGACCACCCAACCGACCGGCCACCCACATTGGCTGGATGGCAATGCGCGCCTGGGTCAAGATATCCGGTGCCTCCTTAAGGTCTAAAACTTCAACCGCGGCACCCCGCTGCAGGAGGTCCTGGATCACCTCTGATGAGAACCCAGGCACCTCCCGGGTTCCCTGAATGAAATGTCTCAGGAACCTCCCTGAGGCAAATTGCATCTGACCTTCAATCTAGTGCTTTAACGTGTCAAGAGCGAGCTTCCAGGTTGCATCTCTGCTGGTGGGCATGCACACTGCTAGGCACAGCAGTCCAGAATGGTCCCAGAAAAGGACTTGGTTGACCGTTCCAAGCATTCTGAGAAGCTCGTTGAGTTGTCAACTGATTGTCAGCTTAAACAGACCGAAACAGCAGGACAGTGTCCATGCGATGCTTTGGCTTTCCAGCCCATTTGTGTTCCCAATCGCTTGCCACTCCCAGCTGCAGCTAAGTCACGTAGGCGCCCAAAAACCTTCTCTCTCCAAAACAACCAACGGGCGAGCAAACTCGTCTGTTTGTGCGACAGTTCGGAATCAGGCTCCCAAACAAAGCCTAGCGAAGGCACGTCTCTTCTTGGTGTGTTCAGCAAGCCTCTCCCTGACTAAAAAACATATCCTTCCCAAGAGTTGAACTTGCAAGCCAAAAGCAAGCCACCTATTGGGCATTGTCCATTCCCTGGCTGCTATGCTAATGCTGACTAAGCGGCCCCTGTCCACCAGTGATCGTCACTCGCTGCAGCACCATTGCGTCGAGTCAGCTGCTACCCCGCCATCTTCCAGTCTCGAGCCGGTCTGCTGTGGTCGGGTTATGTTTCACTGCCAAGCCCCAGGCCTTTTGACCAATGAGGCGAGGATAAAATTGAAAAGGAATCCTCATCTTAAATTAAGTTATCCTGGCTTCTGATCTTCCCACTAAAGGGTCCCTGAGCATCCCAGCCAAGCCCCAAGATAAACAGCCGTTCTTGGAGCGTTCCGAGAACCGCTCTCAGAGTGTTTCCACACCCAAACCATGCCAAATCACGATTTCCATCAATCTTTGTAGGATAGCCCTATATATAGCCACTCTTAGAGGTTTTGCTCCGTTTCCCCTTCGAGTGCGTGGCTCCAGCGTCGCAGGTGTCCAAACCGAAGCCTCAGACCGTCCCGGCCCCAAAGCTAGCCTCCCATGGCACATGCCAGGCACATGACAGGCTGACAGGGTTCCTTGAGGAAATTGATCTTCCCGCAGGTCCATTTGCAGGAAGACCACCGTTGCCACGTCCAGGACACAACAGGTGACGGGCTGGTTTCAGGTCGCTTCAAGCTGATCTAAACCTCATAGCAATCCTGATCAGTTGTCCAGGATCCAAGGGCATCAAAACTGATATGGTTCAGAAGCGGCCCCAAATGCCCCCTGTTTTGACACATAGCCAAATCAGGATTAGGTGTCAAGGATGCTCCGGCAGCACGTTGTTGGGCAAATTGAGTACGGCCATCAACCATCTTCCATGTTACGAGTCCTTGACACCTCAGACTGTTCCATTCCTCTCGAAGTAAAAGCTCTCAAAAGCCCATCCTTGGAGATCCTTTCCCCTTTCCTCCCCTTTGGACAAAGGACCTCGCCTGGAGCTCAAACCAACAGCTCACAGTCGCCGGGGCTTGCCGAAGCGGCACCCTCAAGACACGCCGATGTGAGATCGAAGCGGTGAAACGGGCCTAGCGGCATCAAGGGAACGTCGTAAGATGGGACCTGCGCATTTCAAGTACTGCAGGGTTCACGTGTAGGAGCATGATGAAAAGTCCAGGCTTCAAGCCAGTGTGATTTTGGCGCTTTGAGGAAACATGTACCATTTCAAGTTTTAAGAATATGGCATGAACCACGGTGCGCTGCCTCCTGAGGCTTTCTCAGAAAAATATAATATATATTCGGAGATAGGGCAGCTGAATTCATAGACAGCAGCAAGGGATGCTCACTTTTCAGAACTAACCCCCCTCTGAGATTGGGATTGAGGGGCTGGTCACATAAGGCCGACAAAATCTCTCACACACACACACACACCTCATTCAACGGACTGCCGCAAAGTGGAGCAAAACATATCTATGTGTATGTATATATATATATATATATATGGGTTTGTATTTTTTTAGGGTGGCCGGGCAGGAAGGTTTGAGTACGGGGTATGATTCGCAGGTATGATTCGCGGGTATGATTCGGGATATGATTCGGGGGTATAATTCGCGGAAGCAGCAGCAGCAGCAGTAGTAGCAGTAGTGGCCGAAGTAGTAGTACTAGTAGTATTATTGTAGTAGTAACAATAGTAGTAGTACTAGTAGTAGTAGTAGTAGTAGTAGTAGCAGTAGTTAGTAGTAGTAGTAGTTGTTGTTGTAGTAGTAGTAGCAATAGTAGGAGTAGTAGTAAATAGTAGTAGCAGTAGTCCTAGTACTAGTAGTAGTAGTAGTAGTAGTAGTAGTAGTAGTAGTAGCACTAGTAGTACTAGTAGTCGTAGTAGTAGTAGTAGTAGTAGTAGTAGTAGTAGTAGTAGTAGTAGTGGTAGTAACAGTAGGAGCAGCGACTGTAGTGGCGCGGAAGCTTTGAAATAGCGCTGGCCTTAGCAAGGCAAGTTCATTACGCGGGTATGATTCGGGTATGATTCGCGGGTATGATTCGGCTAGGTGCAAAACAGCACTGATCACAAACTCGTAGTAGCTGTGGTAGTAGTAGTAGTAGTAGTAGCAGTAGTAGTGGTAGTAATAGTAGCAGTTGCAGAAGTAGTGGTAGCAGCTGTAGCATAAGCAGCAGCGGCTGTAGTGGTGCGGACGCTGTGAAAAAGACTTAGCACTAGCCTTGGCAGGGGAAGCTCATTGTCCGGGTATGATTCGGGTATGATTCGCGGGTATGATTCGGCTAGGTGCAAAACGGCACTGATTACAGACTCAGAATGATGTATGTGGTAGTAGTGAGTAGTAGCAGCAGCAGCAGAAGCAGGAATAGTAGTAGTAGAAGTAGTAGTAGTAGTAATAATAGTAATAGTAGTAGTAGTAGTAGTAGTAGTAGTAGTAGTAGTCAAGGTTGTAGTCGTAGTAGTTAGTAGTAAGGGTAGCAGAAGCAGAAGTAGAAGCAGCAGAATAGTAGTAGCAGCGTAGTAGCGGTGGTAGTGGTAGTGATACTCGTAGTCGCGGTAGTAGCAGTAGTAGTAGTAGTAGTAGTAGTAGTAGTAGTAGTAGTAGTAGTCAAGGTTGTAGTCGTAGTAGTTAGTAGTAAGGGTGGCAGAAGCAGAAGTAGAAGCAGCAGAATGGTAGTAGCAGCGTAGTAGCGGTGGTAGTGGTAGTAATACTCGTAGTCGCGGTAGTAGCAGTAGTAGTAGTAGTAGTAGTAGTAGTAGTAGTAGTGGTAGTAGCAGTAGTAGTAGTAATTGGAGTAGTAGTAGTAGTAGTAGTAGTAGTAATAGTAGTAGTAGTAATAGTAGTAGTAGTAGTAGTAGTAGTAGTGGCAGTGGTAGTGGTAGTATTGGGTAGCGCTAGTAGTGGAACAACACAAAATGGTAGAAGAACAGTAGCATCTTGCAGCATACGTTTTAAGGGGTATGATTCGGGGGTATGATTCGGGGTATGATTCGGGGGTATAATTCGGGGGTATGATTCGGGGAGGTCCCACCTTCTGCCTTTTGAAGCAACTCAACACACCAAAAAAGGACAACCCCATATATACAAACGTCAGATTGCGCACGCTTTTTGTTCGACCGCAGGCAGGTGAGCTGTCATCTCTTCATGTCCACGCGCTCAGCCATAGATGGTGAAAGGCTTCCCCATGGTGCTCTTGATGTGCAGACGCTTCACCTGAAATCAAACGTGGAACTAGTCGCAGGGTTACACAAGACTGAGCTGCAGAAGCACTGACCAAATGCTATCCAGGCACGTTGTTCCAGTTCTTCTTGAGCAAAGACACCAGGAAGTTAATTGCCATCAGGCAGTTCTGCCTGCCGCTTCATCACCACTTCCCTGAATAAGACTGAATCAGCACCCTCCCACATCCGGTGAGTCAAGTGAGTAGCGAAACAATATGGGCATCGTGACCTCTTAGCTTTTCAAGATCTGACTACATGCATTGGCAAGTTCACAGATCCTACAGACTGGCTCCAGGATCCCTGAAACGATATTATAAGCATCTATGACCATTTGTTGAGACAATCGCGACAACCTGGAGGCTGAGGCTCTGTGATCCGGCGGACATACAGTTGCCTTGTTTTGGTTCACGTTCAAATCATGGGGCCCTGACTTTGACACGCTGCCAAGTGGGACTGGGCAACTGGTCTTTGCCAGAGGTTGGTTGCTGACGTGGCTCTCTGCTTCATCCCGTTGCTACAGCACGAGACCGAACCTGCCAAGTTGCCTGGAATGGAATGTATGTTTCACAACCCACCAGGCCTGCATTTGAACTAAGTTGAACACTGCCTCTGCTGCCCGCCTCAGCTCATCCGGCGTCATGCCGACATTGCCAACCGCGACGCCCATGCACAGCACTTTCTTGAGCTGGAACTTCACCTGCGAGCCATGGAGAACACGGTTTTGAACACGTTGAAGGGCCCAGTTTCGGACACAAAGGTGTCAGAGGGGGACGAGGCTACGAGCTCGTGCAAAGCTGAGAGACGCTGTGGCTCCAAGAGGCCAAAAGGGTTTACTGCCAGATGCCAAGTTTTTCCGAATCCCAAAGCCGATTCTCTCAAACCTGCCAGCCTGGCCAGCCGAGGGTTCACTCGAGACACTGGCAAAACATACTTTTGAAGCGGGGGCTTTTGCATGGTGCACCTCCGCATTTTCGGAACATTGGGAAAAGGCTGGTGAAAACATGTTCAGTCAGTTGCTCATGTCGGGCATGATTCTCTTACCACACGCCACACGGCATCGGATGAATCCTGCCTGGCTCCGGACCTCGGTCACCTTGGTCTCCAGGTTGTCCGCGTGCTGCACCAGGGTGGGGAACTTGCCGGCCTGGGCAGAGCTCATCTCGGAGTCTTGCAGTGCCCAAAGAAATCTGGCGCAAACCGACGGGGAGTTTTGAGAGGCGTCTTGGGACGGTCCAAGCGTCTGCAAACATGACAACAAACAATGTGGCTGGCTTCCCTGTGTTGTCACCTGGACTTTGGATGCTGCGAGGTGAGCAGCTCAAGAAGAGGTTTCTGGATTTCTGTGGTAGCTGCAGCTCTGTCCAACGCCTGATTTTGGATGTCGCTCTTTGACTTGCAGCACTGCAAGAACGCAAGCTCTCCTGACAGCGGATGACTACCACCTGCTTGGAAACGGCTATATGATTCGAAATGGGAGCCCAAGGCAGGACAAGCGGCGAGTTCAGTCCCTAGTCCAGAGTGCCAAACGTACCATATGACAGAGACAAATGTAGGATGCCACGGAAGGCTACAACTTCCGAAACTTAGGGGTGCAAGACTTTTGTTGCATCAAGGTGAACAGGAGATTGCAAAATAGGGTGGCAAAAATTGTCTCGAAGGAGGTACTGTGGGCTCAACAACTAAGACCACACACACACGCACGCATCCAAATTGCCGTTGAAATCCGAACATGAGGAAAACAAACCAATTTGATTTATAGACCCCCAATAAGTGGTTGGTTTGCCAGTGCTTTCCTTGAAGAGCCGGCCAAAAAAGGTTCCCAACTTTTCACATATTCTACCGAGCTGTCAATAGAAACGGGCGTTGGTACATGGATTTGTGCAAACCATCCATTTTTGATGCTGTCCAGTTTCCCACTAAACATCATGGCATGTGTGTGCCTCTAAGGGCCCCGATACCCTCCACGGCACGGCCAAGTCTTTTCCCGGCCCGCCTTGTTCAAGCCAGGGCCCAACAACCTCGGGATCTGCGGGATGAGCACCTCGCCAAGCACCGATCGAAGGCTATGATAGGCCACAAACTTTCAGAAGTGACACCTGAAATAATTGGCTTCCTGTTGATGTTTTCTTTTTACCAGCCCGAGAAAGGCTTACCCTCAGAAAGACCCGCCTTTTACACTCTGAACCATCCTGCACAAGTAATAAAGTCAAAACTACAAGTCAAAGACCTCTCGTCTTGCTCACACTTCAACTTTGGCTCCCAGGGTAGGGCTAGGTCCAAGGCTCCGCGGGATGGTCATGATTGCCAGGATCCAATTAACATATCATAGTGGTATTCAAATATTCAAGGGGTTCTTACTTGTGGTGGGGACTGTCCCTACTGACTTTCATCTGCCTAGGTTTTGCCACCACAAAATTTAGGCCCCAAAAGACACTTTCGTGTTGGAGCATTGGGTTGTCACCCCCTTGCTGTCCTCGCCAAGCAAAGTACACCGACCAATTCTTGCTGGTCAAAATCTCACGGCTCAAAACCTGACATTGGGCTGAGATGGACTTTCCAATTCGCAGGCAGCTCCCAAATGGCCACGGGTCAAAATCCCATACCCCCAGTGACTGAACATCCCAATCCCCACTAAAATAGACCAAAATGGGTGGTGCACCTACCCCAAAATAGTACCATTGGTTTTGACCCACTGCCAAATCTTTAGGAGCTCAGCTGCTTGGCAAGTGGAAACCAGCGGCCCAGCCTGAGATGCCACAAAGGCATCAAAGCTGTCCGCCAGCCTGCGAGTGCATTGCCCACGGCACCCCCACTTTAGGCCCATGGATGGGAAAGGTCCGACTTGATTTCCGACGGCTTGAGAGAACAAACCTAACAAACTCTGCAGCCCAAAGGCTTCTTCACCATCTTCTTGTTCTTGTTCAACTTCTTCAAATCCTTGGGCGTGTGGTGTGGGCTGGAAATTCTGAGGGCCATGGATAGCACACACCTTGTCAAGGCATCGCAGTGACAACTTTCCAGAGATCGCTGGGCGCGGCGCCTCCACACTCTTGAACGGAATGTTCGCCTCGAAGAGTACGAGAAGGCGGGACCACCAGCATTGCACAAGCTGAGACAACGACACGCTGGGCTTGCTCGCAGTGCACAGCATCTCCAAGAACGCAGACCTGCCGAGAAAAAAAAGACTCGTAGAATCTCGTAGATGTGTGAAGTGTACCGGCAAGTGACAGCTGAAGCAGTTCATGATGTTTGAGATCTCCCTTTATGGACCGCTTGTCACGAGGGATTCGAATTACAGCATGATTTGGTTGACCGTGTTCAGTCCATCTCTCGGCTACATTCATTTAAGCTGGTAATCTCGCCCTGATTGACTCCATTCGCGGCCTTCAAGCGAGGGCGAGGCACGTGCGGCAACTTGATGGTACCTGGCAAGGCATGAGCAGGCCTCTCGAGAGAAGTGTCCTAAACACTCACCAAGCGCTCACAGAATATCCTATAGCATAAATATCCCCCAAAGCACAAATGAGACAAAGCAAAGCTCTCTTCCTGTTGCTTCGGATAGGTGTGTCTTCAGCCTGGCTGCCCCTAACATCGCAAAGGGACTCCGTTTCTGGCGCTTGCCCTGCAGTGCCTGCGAAGCGCTTGTCTCGCTGGGTGTCGTAGTCCTTGAGGCCAATCTGGAGCTCAACCTTGTGCAACACGCTGCACACGTGTCTCACACGATATCCACTGGATGACATGCCAACTGCAAGCAACTCCAACATAATGCAAAATACATGGCTTCCGTTCAAAAAGGCCGGCTAAGGAGCCGTACACAGTATGTGCATAATTCCTGTTGCATCTGTGTTTTCCTTTTCGAAATGAAGCGGGCCCCCACCTAAATCATGCAAATCCCACTGGCAGCGCTAGCTTCGCTCTAGCTCGGCGCTAGGTCGGAGACGTTAGTTGACGTGGCATGTGAGATGCGCACGAGCTCAACGCATTCCTTTCTCGCAACGCAAAAGTGCTGCGTCTGCCACAAAAACTGCACGAGTCTTTTGCAAAAGTGCTGCGCCTGCCATGCCTGCCCTTCCGAAAGCATTGCGCCTGTCACGAAATCTGTACGTGACCCTGCGAAAAAAATGTGAAACCATAGGCAGTTTTTCGCGCTAGCTCCGCGCTAGCACCGCGCTAGCACCGCGCTAGCAGGCAGTTGCCAGCTTGAACATTGGGGCACGTGCCTTGTTGGAGGCCATACCCAAGAAGCCACTTGCATGTTTCTAGGCTGTAGTTGTAAGTCAGGCTAAGTACAACTATATACTCAATTTTGTTTTGTTACTTGCTTATTGTGTGTCTAAATATCCTATAGCAGCAGCTCTACAAGCTCGGACAGCTCATCCGACAGCAGCTAAGAAAAGGCCCGCGCTAGCGCTGCTGTCAGTTATTTGTACGTTTCTTAGTCAAACCTATTGTGCCGCGATGGTTACGTGTTCATATGGCCCGAATGATACGGGCCCCCATGGAATGGCGATTTACGCTACAAAAGCTGGGAGCCAACATTTTGACAACCAGCCACATAATCAGAGCTTTGGTGAGAAGTATTAGAGCTGTAGAGCCCCACTGTCTGCCTGCTCATCTTCGGACGAACCACTATCCTTCCCCAGAAACATCCTCTCCGACAGGGTGCCAAACGTTAAGTGCCAATAACTCAGCTTTGCGCAAAGTACCACCTCGTCACCTGGCCCCAAATAAGGAGAGCACGGTCTCCAGGAACTTGCGCTGCTTCTCCTTGCTTCCGTCAAGGATCTGACCCTCAGTGCACGGTGCCTAGCTGCCTGGCTGCCTAGCTCTCTGCTTTGGTGACCTACTCCATGTTCGAGGAGCAAACGCTGCGAAAGGTCAGGAAGCTTCTTTGGGTGTGAGCCACGGTCAATGTTCTTAATTCCACAAAAGCGTACGGACAAAAATTATGTGGAAGATTTGGGTGGTGAAAATGGAAACAAAAGCTAGACGCGGTTTCCTGCGACTGGTAGGTTGTGTCTTCAAGGGATGCATCCCGTCAGTCTCTGTGGCTCAGGCAATGCCCTTCTTCAGATTGTCCACGTTGAGCTTCGACATTGCGCGCTACAGCCCAACCACCTACGTCCTGCGCGACGCCTGAGCCAAAGTTCCGGAGTTCTAAGGCTGTCTTCGGAGCAAACTCCATAAACAAATTGAAGTCCCCAAAGAGCGGACAGGTTGCACATTGTATTACCCAAGTGAACTGCAGGCACCGCAAATTGGCAGACCTGGAGGCAGTGGCACAGCGGGTGGACTGTTTCCGAAGACTGCGCCGTGTTGGTCAGCGGAGAGTTGCTCCGCAGCCTCAACCGCCACGCACTTTCGAAAGCTTTGCTAGATACAATTTCTGTACCTCATCGCTGGACAGGGGGCCATCGGGCCATCTAGGTGCTCCCCGAAATAGGGGTCTGCTGCAAACGGTTAGTTCCCTTTGTGCGGGCTTCCTTGCCTAAACTGGGCAAACATATTAAACAAAGTTCCTGATTTTGTTTACGAAATGGTCACGCAAATCGGCACTTTTCTCTGAGCCGGCAGCTTTCCTGCAACGGCGGCGATGCGGCCTCACGCAACCAGCGCACCGGTGAAGGGGGCACAGACCCCCTGACAACGCCCACTACGACTTCACCTAGTTTGTGGGTGTCATCTCAAGCACGCGTCTCAAATGTGAACAATGGAGACACTCGCCACGTTGATAAACCTGGACAAAGATGAGCATGTAAATGGATCACGCGATTGCTGCCAGGCAAATGCCTCTGTCATGTTGGCAACATATTGGGAACTTACGCTTGCTTACAACCACCATTCAAAGGCATGTGGAAAGCACTACACTACACTAAAGTAGTGCAAACACGTGCACCATTTTCCGAGCCCTGGAGCGCCGCATACACTTTGGGTTCATCTACGGATACGTCAAACACGTTCCTCCCGCCGACTTATGTTCCAAATACAAATGTTTGGTCAGCATGGGGTGAGATTGGCAGGACAATTGACAACCAGAGAGACGACTCGGTAAAGCGCACTGCAAACGAACAGGCAACCCCACGAAATCTTGGGTTTGGAGAATTCCTTTTTGTGCGACCCGACCCCCTGTTTGAGCCCCACAATACTTTGCAGAACGCACAAATTCACAATTGACCCAAGCTGAGCTTCTCCTGAACCCTCCACCCGCAGCTCCTGGAGATCTAAGGTGGCAGAGAACTGAGCGCCTCAGGGATGGTTGTTACAGGATAATCAACTGCTTATTGAAGCTGGCCAGCAGCTAACTCTGGCGTTGCTTGTGCCAAACCAAAAACCAGCTTGCGATGTGTTGATCTACTCGCCATGACTTGTTACCATTTCTGTCCAAGACGGTGGCCAATGGGTTTTTTACTGTGCATACGGATCCCTGGATTTGCTCATAATCATAAAGTAATTAACAGGAACCATGGCTGTCTGCCCACCCAGATTTTGGGACAAGCAGACATGCCTTTGACCCACCACCAACTCCGGAAACCTACACTTCAAAGGAGCCAAGAAGGCAGTAAGGGACAACCCTGACAGGGGTTAATGTAAACCCAGCGAACACTTGCATTGGCATGCAAACAACTCAACTAATCCGTTTCTTTGAATCTGTGTAAACTAGACGCCGTTCCAAATGGTCGGCTTCATGTTCGTGCTCGTCGGCTCACGGTGAACGAGAAGCATCCCATGGGATGCTCGCTGGGCCACCAGGCCGCCAAGGCCTGGTAACGCATCAACAGGTGCCACGCAATGAAGTTCAATAGGAAACCCCGAACATGCCCAAGGGGTGCCTGAACAAGTAATCTTAGGGGGTGGGGTGGTTACTTTGCTGTGTTGGTTGCGCTTCAACTCCTTTCTCCAACATTGGCCTGCCCAAATAACCCAAGTAATTGCCATCAACCGCGAGCACGTTGACTATAGATGCTTCAACTTGAGGGCACTTCCAAACGGTTTGCCTTTGAGTCACGGAAAGCATGATCTGAGATGGACAAAGCTGTGCTTTCAACCGAGTCTGCCTCTGTGGCCAAGATGGTTCAATAACATGATCCTACAGGATACCAATCAATAGACATAAGACACGTCCAACATGGCAAGCTGCATGCTGTGGGTCGGTTCTATACGTGATGCATCATGCTGCATGTGGGCTTGTAGACTCTGACGAAGCAGCCAGCTCTTTTTGTCGGCTCAGACCTGCACTAAGGCAAGCCAGGCTTCGAGTGTAGACTTGGCCGTGGAAAAGATGCAGGCCAAGCCTCAACTCCCAAGACTCCATGCATCTCCGCGCTGTTCAACTAACAGCCGCTGGATGCCGCAAGCAAAACGGGGGCAAGGGATGGCAAAGGCGCATCCCTCAGCTAATTCGAGGCAAAATCAAGGCAAAACCGCTGAATTTAAGCCAGGAGAGCTGCTTCGGAGCTCCATGCGCACAGACGTCAAGACGTCCAGACCTCAAATCACCAAAGTATCCGTCGCAGCGGCCGCCTTCCGCGCAGCGATAGCCTTCAAGACGTTGGCATAGTTCCAAGTCAAGTCCCTGGCAGACTTGAGGCTGCCGTCATTGCGGTCGATCTGCTCGTTCATGTGCATGCCATTGGTCAAGTACTTCTTCATGAGCAGAAGGAGCGCGTCTCCTGCGCCCAGCAGATTCTGCTGAGTAACATCCCGGCCCAACAGCTGGTGCAGCACCTGCTTGGCATCCGCGTCCATGGAGCCGCCCTTGGCCAAAGCCTGCGCCTGCCGGTAGAGCAGCGTGGCTGCAGAAGCGGTGAGCAACACCCAGGGGTTGCCCCCGTCGTAGCTGTCGCCCTCGTAGCGCCCGAAGAGCACGCCGGGCGTTTTGGCCGCCGCCGCCTGCTGGTTCACCGCGTAGCTCTTGCAGAACAAGTCGCTCAAGGTGGCCAGCGTCCTCACCACCGGAGTGCTCAACGGTCCGAACAGCCCATCCTCCAAGTCCCCCACGTTGAAGGCCTCGATCACGGCCGTGTCCTTGCGCCGATCAGTGGACTCGAAGACGTAGCCGCTGGCATCCACGTGATCACCCAGCTGCTGCTCGATCTCCTTGGCCGCCGTCGAGTACTTGGCCGCCCTCGCCTCATCCTTCCCCGCCGAAGCCGCAAACTTCGAGCCCAGAATGAGGGCCTCGCGAACTGGGACTCATTTCCGCTACACACCTTGCTGTGACTTGCTGTATGCGGTTGAGTCGGTTCAGTCGGTTTAAGTGTTCGAAGCGAAACCGCTTGAAACCGCGCCTTGCGCATGGTGTAGCGGTTCCAGAAGAAGTCGCTGGAGCGCACCTCCTCCCACAAGTCGCAGGTCTCAGAGCTGTGGTTGGCCGCCACCCAGTCCAGATTCCGCCGCACCAGCTCCCAGACCTTCCCGGCCACCTCCGGGTTCAGAAGTTTTGCTAAAAAAGAAAGGCTCACAGCTTCTCGTGATCTACATACATATTTATATACATGTGTGCATGTATGTATGTATGCATGTATGTATGTATGTATGTATGTATGTATGTATGCGTAGTATTATATATATAGTCCCCATTCCGAGCAATGGTTCTCTGCGTGCTGGAGCTGCCTCCGGCTTCTGGGCCGCAAAGGCCATGGCAGTGACGGCGCGGAGCCCAGGGCCGTCGTTCTGGGGCCGGCACCAGCCACCCGTGTAGGGCGTGCCTTGGGGGATCAAGTACTTGGGCTCCACCAGGATGTCCACATCGTTGGGGTCCGGCTGATTCATGGAGCGCTCCACCCAGCTCAGCCACTTCCCCATCTTCTCCTCCGCGCCCGCACCCTTGGTCTGCAGGTAGGCGTGCATGCTCAAAGCCCCATCCCGTGCCCAGGCGTAGTAGTAGTCGCCCCCGGGCCCCGTGGCGTGGTCTGGGGACGCCATGACCTCGCCACTGCCCTCTGCGTCCAGGTTGGCCTCGAAGAGCCTCAGCACCTCAGCCGCCTCCTCGTCGGAGAAGGGCTCCTACTCCACTCGACATTGGTCTTTGTACCGACTTTATACTAAACTTTATGCCCCTTAAACTTCATTCTTCAAGCTTCGGATTCCGCTTCCTTGCCGCGGGAGAGGTCCCTTCCGAGGATTTTCGCGGCACATGTGTTTCCCCTCATTTGCTTCCGCAAACCTTCCGGGGCGCACGTTGTGCCAAATGTGCTTCTGAAAGTGCTGGCGAAGAAAGGAAAGTCAGCTTAAGTAAGATTAAGTAAGGAATGTGATGTTCCGCCTGTGTTTGTGAAGCGTGTGTAGCCTTGGGTTCCATCCGGCTACCGGTGCTACGTGGGCACGTGCCTGCAGACACGGGGCAACCCTTCAACGGTGATTCCGCGAACCTTCGGCAAACCTTCCCTTCGGTGCGCATGTTCAAGAATAATGTCCCTCTCCCGGCACAAAACCGCCGCTCCTATGAGACCACACGAAACCTGCAAATTCGGGGCTTTATCAAGGAGTCCAGGCAACGTTGTGAGAATCTGATATCCCAAACAAAGGCGCGCATCGGATATCTCGCCTTGGCGTCGCCACCCAAGGTGCAGGACTGCAAGGTGCGGTTGCTGAAGAAACACCACGGCGCGTTGCCCGGGTTGGGGGACACCGGGCCCCAGCAGCAGCCGGCGGCACGGCAGGAGTCCTCGTCCATGCGTGTGCAGTCCACCCGGTCGCCCAGCTGCACCTGCTCACACTCCACAGCCGCGGCCGGGATCAGCAAACCTGCGACTGCTGCACGGAACATGGCGCCGAATCGGCTATGGGGCAAGGATAGCAGCTTGTTGGCTTCGTGCACTGTAAGCTACAAGGCTTGAGCCAGACCGAATCAGAGCGAACATTGCATGCCTTGTGCACAAGTATACCAGGTGGCCAGCTGAAAGACTGAAAAGATAATCGAAATAGAAACGAGCTCAACAAGTAATCCTAGGGGGTGGGGTGGTTACTGTGCTGTGTTGGTTGCGCTTCAACTCCTTTCTCCAACATTGGCCTGCCCAAATAACCCAAGTAATTGCCATCAACCGCGAGCACGTTGACTATAGATGCTTCAACTTGAGGGCACTTCCAAACGGTTTGCCTTTGAGTCACGGAAAGCATGATCTGAGATGGACAAAGCTGTGCTTTCAACCGAGTCTGCCTCTGCGGCCAAGATGGTTCAATAACATGATCCTACAGGATACCAATCAATAGACATAAGACACGTCCAACATGGCAAGCTGCATGCTGTGGGTCGGTTCTATACGTGATGCATCATGCTGCATGTGGGCTTGTAGACTCTGACGAAGCAGCCAGCTCTTTTTGTCGGCTCAGACCCGCACTAAGGCAAGCCAGGCTTCGAGTGTAGACTTGGCCGTGGAAAAGATGCAGGCCAAGCCTCAACTCCCAAGACTCCATGCATCTCCGCGCTGTTCAACTAACAGCCGCTGGATGCCGCAAGCAAAACGGGGGCAAGGGATGGCAAAGGCGCATCCCTCAGCTCATTCGAGGCAAAATCAAGGCAAAACCGCTGAATTTAAGCCAGGAGAGCTGCTTCGGAGCTCCATGCGCACAGACGTCAAGACGTCCAGACCTCAAATCACCAAAGTCTCCGTCGCAGCGGCCGCCTTCCGCGCAGCGATAGCCTTCAAGACGTTGGCATAGTTCCAAGTCAAGTCCTTGGCAGACTTGAGGCTGCCGTCATTGCGGTCGATCTGCTCGTTCATGTGCATGCCATTGGTCAAGTACTTCTTCATGAGCAGAAGGAGCGCGTCTCCTGCGCCCAGCAGATTCTGCTGAGTAACATCCCGGCCCAACAGCTGGTGCAGCACCTGATTGGCATCCGCGTCCATGGAGCCGCCTTTGGCCAAAGCCTGCGCCTGCCGGTAGAGCAGCGTGGCTGCAGAAGCGGTGAGCAACACCCAGGGGTTGCCCCCGTCGTAGCTGTCGCCCTCGTAGCGCCCGAAGAGCACGCCGGGCGTTTTGGCCGCCGCCGCCTGCTGGTTCACCGCGTAGCTCTTGCAGAACAAGTCGCTCAAGGTGGCCAGCGTCCTCACCACCGGAGTGCTCAACGGCCCGAACAGCCCATCCTCCAAGTCCCCCACGTTGAAGGCCTCGATCACGGCCGTGTCCTTGCGCCGATCAGTGGACTCGAAGACGTAGCCGCTGGCATCCACGTGATCACCCAGCTGCTGCTCGATCTCCTTGGCCGCCGTCGAGTACTTGGCCGCCCTCGCCTCATCCTTCCCCGCCGAAGCCGCAAACTTGGAGCCCAGAATGAGGGCCTCGCGAACTGGGACTCATTTCCGCTACACACCTTGCTGTGACTTGCTGTATGCGGTTGAGTCGGTTCAGTCGGTTTAAGTGTTCGACGCGAAACCGCTTGAAACCGCGCCTTGCGCATGGTGTAGCGGTTCCAGAAGAAGTCGCTGGAGCGCACCTCCTCCCACAAGTCGCAGGTCTCAGAGCTGTGGTTGGCCGCCACCCAGTCCAGATTCCGCCGCACCAGCTCCCAGACCTTCCCGGCCACCTCCGGGTTCAGAAGTTTTGCTAAAAAAGAAAGGCTCACAGCTTCTCGTGATCTACATACATATTTATATACATGTGTGCATGTATGTATGTATGCATGTATGTATGTATGTATGTATGTATGTATGCGTAGTATTATATATATAGTCCCCATTCCGAGCAATGGTTCTCTGCGTGCTGGAGCTGCCTCCGGCTTCTGGGCCGCAAAGGCCATGGCAGTGACGGCGCGGAGCCCAGGGCCGTCGTTCTGGGGCCGGCACCAGCCACCCGTGTAGGGCGTGCCTTGGGGGATCAAGTACTTGGGCTCCACCAGGATGTCCACATCGTTGGGGTCCGGCTGATTCATGGAGCGCTCCACCCAGCTCAGCCACTTCCCCATCTTCTCCTCCGCGCCCGCACCCTTGGTCTGCAGGTAGGCGTGCATGCTCAAAGCCCCATCCCGTGCCCAGGCGTAGTAGTAGTCGCCCCCGGGCCCCGTGGCGTGGTCTGGGGACGCCATGACCTCGCCACTGCCCTCTGCGTCCAGGTTGGCCTCGAAGAGCCTCAGCACCTCAGCCGCCTCCTCGTCGGAGAAGGGCTCCTACTCCACTCGACATTGGTCTTTGTACCGACTTTATACTAAACTTTATGCCCCTTAAACTTCATTCTTCAAGCTTCGGATTCCGCTTCCTTGCCGCGGGAGAGGTCCCTTCCGAGGATTTTCGCGGCACATGTGTTTCCCCTCATTTGCTTCCGCAAACCTTCCGGGGCGCACGTTGTGCCAAATGTGCTTCTGAAAGTGCTGGCGAAGAAAGGAAAGTCAGCTTAAGTAACATTAAGTAAGGAATGTGATGTTCCGCCTGTGTTAGTGAAGCGTGTGTAGCCTTGGGTTCCATCCGGCTACCGGTGCTACGTGGGCACGTGCCTGCAGACACGGGGCAACCCTTCCGCGGTGATTCCGCGAACCTTCGGCCTCTCCCGGCACAAAACCGCCGCTCCTATGAGACCACACGAAACCTGCAAATTCGGGGCTTTATCAAGGAGTCCAGGCAACGTTGTGAGAATCTGATATCCCAAACAAAGGCGCGCATCGGATATCTCGCCTTGGCGTCGCCACCCAAGGTGCAGGACTGCAAGGTGCGGTTGCTGAAGAAACACCACGGCGCGTTGCCCGGGTTGGGGGACACCGGGCCCCAGCAGCAGCCGGCGGCACGGCAGGAGTCCTCGTCCATGCGTGTGCAGTCCACCCGGTCGCCCAGCTGCACCTGCTCACACTCCACAGCCGCGGCCGGGATCAGCAAACCTGCGACTGCTGCACGGAACATGGCGCCGAATCGGCTATGGGGCAAGGATAGCAGCTTGCTGGCTTCGTGCACTGTAAGCTACAAGGCTTGAGCCAGACCGAATCAGAGCGAACATTGCATGCCTTGTGCACAAGTATACCAGGTGGCCAGCTGAAAGACTGAAAAGATAATCGAAATAGAAACGAGCTCAACAAGTAATCCTAGGGGGTGGGGTGGTTACTGTGCTGTGTTGGTTGCGCTTCAACTCCTTTCTCCAACATTGGCCTGCCCAAATAACCCAAGTAATTGCCATCAACCGCGAGCACGTTGACTATAGATGCTTCAACTTGAGGGCACTTATAGATGCTTCAACTTGAGGGCACTTCCAAACGGTTTGCCTTTGAGTCACGGAAAGCATGATCTGAGATGGACAAAGCTGTGCTTTCAACCGAGTCTGCCTCTGCGGCCAAGATGGTTCAATAACATGATCCTACAGGATACCAATCAATAGACATAAGACACGTCCAACATGGCAAGCTGCATGCTGTGGGTCGGTTCTATACGTGATGCATCATGCTGCATGTGGGCTTGTAGACTCTGACGAAGCAGCCAGCTCTTTTTGTCGGCTCAGACCCGCACTAAGGCAAGCCAGGCTTCGAGTGTAGACTTGGCCGTGGAAAAGATGCAGGCCAAGCCTCAACTCCCAAGACTCCATGCATCTCCGCGCTGTTCAACTAACAGCCGCTGGATGCCGCAAGCAAAACGGGGGCAAGGGATGGCAAAGGCGCATCCCTCAGCTAATTCGAGGCAAAATCAAGGCAAAACCGCTGAATTTAAGCCAGGAGAGCTGCTTCGGAGCTCCATGCGCACAGACGTCAAGACGTCCAGACCTCAAATCAAAGTCTCCTCCGCTGCAGCGGTCGCCCCGCGCAGCGATAGCCTCTGTCCGTTGGCATAGTTCCAAGTCAAGTCCTTGGCAGACTTGAGGCTGCAAGCGGCCATTGCGGTCGATCTGCGCATCCGCCGCATGTGCATGCCATTGGTCAAGTACTTTCCTGGCGGTTGTAGGCTCGCGTCTCCTGCGCCCAGCAGATTCTGCTGAGTAACATCCCGGCCCAACAGCTGGTGCAGCACCTGATTGGCATCCGCGTCCATGGAGCCGCCCTCGCCTTGGCCAAAGCCTGCGCCTGCCGGTAGAGCAGCGTGGCTGCAGAAGCGGTGAGCAACACCCAGGGGTTGCCCCCGTCGTAGCTGTCGCCCTCGTAGCGCCCGAAGAGCACGCCGGGCGTTTTGGCCGCCGCCGCCTGCTGGTTCACCGCGTAGCTCTTGCAGAACAAGTCGCTCAAGGTGGCCAGCGTCCTCACCACCGGAGTGCTCAACGGCCCGAACAGCCCATCCTCCAAGTCCCCCACGTTGAAGGCCTCGATCACGGCCGTGTCCTTGCGCCGATCAGTGGACTCGAAGACGTAGCCGCTGGCATCCACGTGATCACCCAGCTGCTGCTCGATCTCCTTGGCCGCCGTCGAGTACTTGGCCGCCCTCGCCTCATCCTTCCCCGCCGAAGCCGCAAACTTGGAGCCCAGAATGAGGGCCTCGCGAACTGGGACTCATTTCCGCTACACACCTTGCTGTGACTTGCTGTATGCGGTTGAGTCGGTTCAGTCGGTTTAAGTGTTCGACGCGAAACCGCTTGAAACCGCGCCTTGCGCATGGTGTAGCGGTTCCAGAAGAAGTCGCTGGAGCGCACCTCCTCCCACAAGTCGCAGGTCTCAGAGCTGTGGTTGGCCGCCACCCAGTCCAGATTCCGCCGCACCAGCTCCCAGACCTTCCCGGCCACCTCCGGGTTCAGAAGTTTTGCTAAAAAAGAAAGGCTCACAGCTTCTCGTGATCTACATACATATTTATATACATGTGTGCATGTATGTATGTATGCATGTATGTATGTATGTATGTATGTATGTATGTATGCGTAGTATTATATATATAGTCCCCATTCCGAGCAATGGTTCTCTGCGTGCTGGAGCTGCCTCCGGCTTCTGGGCCGCAAAGGCCATGGCAGTGACGGCGCGGAGCCCAGGGCCGTCGTTCTGGGGCCGGCACCAGCCACCCGTGTAGGGCGTGCCTTGGGGGATCAAGTACTTGGGCTCCACCAGGATGTCCACATCGTTGGGGTCCGGCTGATTCATGGAGCGCTCCACCCAGCTCAGCCACTTCCCCATCTTCTCCTCCGCGCCCGCACCCTTGGTCTGCAGGTAGGCGTGCATGCTCAAAGCCCCATCCCGTGCCCAGGCGTAGTAGTAGTCGCCCCCGGGCCCCGTGGCGTGGTCTGGGGACGCCATGACCTCGCCACTGCCCTCTGCGTCCAGGTTGGCCTCGAAGAGCCTCAGCACCTCAGCCGCCTCCTCGTCGGAGAAGGGCTCCTACTCCACTCGACATTGGTCTTTGTACCGACTTTATACTAAACTTTATGCCCCTTAAACTTCATTCTTCAAGCTTCGGATTCCGCTTCCTTGCCGCGGGAGAGGTCCCTTCCGAGGATTTTCGCGGCACATGTGTTTCCCCTCATTTGCTTCCGCAAACCTTCCGGGGCGCACGTTGTGCCAAATGTGCTTCTGAAAGTGCTGGCGAAGAAAGGAAAGTCAGCTTAAGTAAGATTAAGTAAGGAATGTGATGTTCCGCCCTGTTAGTGAAGCGTGTGTAGCCTTGGGTTCCATCCGGCTACCGGTGCTACGTGGGCACGTGCCTGCAGACACGGGGCAACCCTTCCGCGGTGATTCCGCGAACCTTCGGCAAACCTTCCCTTCGGTGCGCATGTTCAAGAATAATGTCCCTCTCCCGGCACAAAACTGCCGCTCCTATGAGACCACACGAAACCTGCAAATTCGGGGCTTTATCAAGGAGTCCAGGCAACGTTGTGAGAATCTGATATCCCAAACAAAGGCGCGCATCGGA